CTTTGTTGACCCACTCCCTTTCAATGTTAAATGTCATTGACCTTGGCTATCTTCTGATACTTTCATTTGTGAGGTCTGTCTACTTCCGTTATAACAATCTTCCAAAGAATTCTTCTCAACTTTAGACTGCTCTTGCGCGTGATGTAATTATCGTAGAAGGTTGATTTCTTCAGAGTCTTTTGCAATTTGCTACATTTGCAAAGTCCCACTCTGTGCCACGTGTGGCTCTAGTTTTTTTTTTTTTTTTTTTTTTTTTTTTTTTTCGATTTTTACACACCTTCCTGAGCTTAGACTACAATAGTTGCAGCAACCATTCAACATTCACGAACCTTAGATATAGGCGACGATGTGCATAAATATGTTTTGGATCTTTTTTGCAAAACCGGAAGTGCCACATTTCAATATATGCAAGAATAGATAATCGGCTCTAGAAGTCGTATTTTTCGGTCGATTTTCTTTGGGTTTGCATTTTTGGAATCTACTGTTAAAATCTGAAAGAATAGCAGTTTCAAAATTTCAAAATTCGAAAATTTGTCGCAGACATTTTTTTTGCCAAATTTTGCATTTTTTTCGCTTTTTGTCTGATTAATCTGAAAAAAAATGAGCAAAGACAGTTTAAGAATGTAAACAAAATTTTCAATTTCACTTCCGGTTTAAACAAGAAAACGATGTTCACTTCCGCTTGAATATCTTCCGGTGTAATTTGTATAGGACAAAAATTTTTATGCTGATAGGTAGACAAAGTTATGACAAAAAAACGAAGAAAAAAAATCCGGAACAGACGTGAAACTTTGGCCGCCATTTTGATTTTTCTGAAATGATTCGATTTTTATTCAGACATAATGGCTCATCCGATTTAAATGATTTTGGTGTCAAATGAGTGAAGATTAAAAAAAAACATGACATTAGGAAGCCGTTTTTCGATTCTCAATTTTGCTTTTTTGCAACATCCGGTTGAATTTTTTCAAAGTTTGAAGGGTCATATCTCGTGATCGTGAACTTTGATGACCTTGACCTTCATAAGGTCAAAGGTCATTGACCTTAGCTATCAATTAATACTTTGACATTTGACCTCCGACATGTACTTCCGGTTTTATAGCTGTCCGAAAACAGCCAAATTCGCAACTTTGGACTGCTCTAGCACGTGACCTAATTAACCTAGAGGGTTAATTTTTTCGGATTCTTAATGTGCTTTTCGTGCTCTTTCAAGTGATTTACAACAATCGTTTTTTAAAGCAAAATTGAAATTCGTGAATTTTTCAAATATTTCTGTTTCTTTGAGCTTGGTGTGTATATATCTTATGACCTATTTTATGTAGAACATTGAAACTTGGAACACAACAAGACAATTTGAATATGAATTAACCTATGACAAAAAAGTTGAGGTGGGCGTGGCACATCCGGGTTGAATTACTAATTGTTTACATTTTGGGAAAGGGGCATAACTCGCATAGGATACATTTGTTCAAAAAGGAACTTTGCACACAATTACCTCATGATTTTGGCCAGTTTGTGTTAATAGGTCAATTGTTTCAGCTTTATAGTTCCAAAAAAGGAACGGGTTTTGAAATTTCTATATTTTCAATTTTCTATTTTGACCTTTATTGACTCTTGTTGACCTATATCTTTTGACCTGTATGATGTAGAAGCTTTAAATTTGGAACACAACATAACATTCAGAATATCAATTAACCTATGCAAAAGAAATTGAGGTGGGCGTAGCACATCCGGGTTAAATTACTCATTATTGACAATTTTGGCAAGGGACATAACTCGCAACGTTTACATTTGTTCAAAATGGAACTTTGCATACAATTACTTCATTCGTTGAGCCACGTTGTCTTAAAAAGTTCGATTGTTTCAGCTTTATAGTTCAAAACAAGGAACAGGTTTTGAAAATTCAAAATTTTCAATTTTTGACCTTGACCTTTTTTGACCCTGATTTTTGTAGGATCAAAGGTCATTCACATTGGCTATCTATTTATACTTTTATATTTGCTGTCCTATCTCAACTTCCGGTTTTATAGCCGTATATAATTAAAAATTTGGATGACTTGTATCTCGTAACCTTGACCTTTGTTGACCGTCTCCCATTCAATGTCAAATGTCATTGACCTTGGCTATCTTCTGATACTTTCATTTGTGAGGGCTGTCTACTTCCGTTATAACAATCTTACAAACAATTCTTCTCAACTTTAGACTGCTCTTGCGCGTGATGTAATTATCGTAGAAGGTTGATTTTTTCAGAGTCTTTAGCATTTTGCTACATTTGCAAAGTCCCACTCTGTGCCACGTGTGGCTCTAGTTTTTTTTTGTAATTAGATTTTACTAGGAAATCATGCCATTGTTTCAGCATGGCGAAAATTTAAACTTGTATAGGCCTAATGTCTAGAAATATCATTGGCTTCGAGCACTTAAATCTGATTATTCCATTCAAGCCAGTGCTTTCATGGAACTATGTTCGTATTACCTAGAATCGTGTCAATCGGGGTTACTTCCGGGAAACAAATGGGGCTAGGAGAACATTCAATCTTTTGGGGGAAAAAAGTTAAGAATGAAAATGAATTGGTGTTATTCTGAACCTGATTGGTCCAATGAATGCCATAAAATGTGCTATAAAGACACAGTGGGACAGTGACATTAATTGCCTACTCTTTGGATTTCCAATTGCTACATATCTTAAGCATACGGGCTTTAGCACATGGGGCCTCGTTTATTGCCTCGACTAGACGACTAGACTCTTTAAATGTCAGCCCCTCCGACCTGCATCACTCACTCACGGTTTCAAAAATCCGAAGGTTGGCTTATATTTCGACCTATATGTCGGGATTAAACACGATACAAAATGTTTAAATATTTTAATGAGTTCATGAATAGACCTACATGTGTAAAAGTTTGACAAATTATGGCTGAATAATTCGTAGTTCCATATAACCGATAGACTATTATATATAGAATATTATAGACTCTAGTTTTAATTGACAATAAAGTCTGATTGGTAAATACAAAGAAATCATTAAAGCCACCTAGCGGGTTTCCAAAGCGCTTCTTTAGAAATGTTTAGCTATATATAAATAGTAATCAATAAATAAATGATGAATTATCAAGGCGTATATTGTGCTAAACATGGACTATATGAGCTAAAGAATGGGGATTTCGTTTTCGCGTAACGTAGGTATATTCGGATTATCAAAATTTCATTCATAGGACAATCATAGATTGTAACAGTGGTCAGCTAGGTGCTAGCTTGTTGATTTATCTAATTCTGATTTTTTAGTACTAGACTTATTTCCACGACGGGACGTTTTTAGCATTCTAAATGTAGGATTCAATTCAAACTATACCGGAAGTAATTCAAAAGGAGACAATGAGATTTCTATAGGGGTCCCAGGAAATCTTTTGACCTGGGTCATATTCTGTTAGCTATACAGGTGTAGGCTACATATAATAGTATGTTCTCCTTCCCGTTCAATATGTGGTAAAATCAATAATATCTTAAACTCGGGAGGGCAATGAAGTAATTTATCTTTGATGCGACACAATCAAATTGCAATTGGGCAATATTATTAGTCATAATTATATAGAGGTGCATACATTTTAGGTTAACGTGACTGTGTAGGCTGATATACAGGTATGGGATAAACAAAAAAAGTAGGTTATTGTGACTAATAGCTAATCACTTTACTTGAATAGAGAAAACTCTACTTACCTACTTACTTTCAAAGTGTAGCTGTATTCGACAATAATCTTAGTGATATTTTTACATATTGTATCAAAATTTTCCTAAAACATGGCGATATCCTAACATCGTGTCAACAGTGTTATCGTATATAAATATCCGCAGTAAAATTAGTGTCACGTGATGACCCCCGGCAATATTAAACCGTTATGACATTTGACATTGAGTAAAGAGTATATCTCTATAGACCTACAGGTAATAACCAAAACGATATGAAGGTGCGATTAAATAAAACAACTGTTAAATAAAATATGATAAATTAAAGTATTTTAAAGATTCGTTGCTTCGGACTGATTTCTCGGAGAAAAGATCAAATAATTACAATTACTGACATCGGCCAAGGTGTTAGCTATCGATTTAGAACGGGTAAGTTTTTATTATCGATATGGGCTACAGATGTAAAATGTTACGGACTAATTTCCAAAGACACAAATTCTTACCAGAAAGAATATTTTTTTTATTCGTGGGTTCTATTCGCTCATAACCATGTTACGCATTTTATTTGGGTCATTTCGAATTCCTTGTTTTAGATAGGCCTACTCAGGAAAAGAATAAGAATAAAACGGTTTTATTAAATTTTAATTTCTGTTTTGTTGTAGTAGTAAAACATAGGCGGATGAATGCGGAGGAATAGGTAATTGACCCGAGCTTTAACTCATTATGAGACACAATAATTTCTTCCTGGTTCGATTGTGGATTTTATCATCTCAGGCCTATTAGGGTCCAGCTCCATGTTTGGTGATTTAAAAGCAGGAGAAGTGTGGGGATGTTAAGAGGTTTGTGAAAAATTTTCGTGCCGGCCTTCCGGGTATCAGGATCATTATTAGCTTACATTTGCATTATTCCAATTTCCGTCAGATGTCTGTGGTTTCTGTAATTATTGAAATACTTTACCATAGGTAACCTATAGCCTAATACTTATAAGTCATTAAGTTTCTGTGGAATTGCAGACCCACGGGCATGTAGGTCTGGGGCTATATATAGCCTACCTCTGATTAAAAAATGGAATGGTATTTGCAGATAAATTGCAAATCGATGCTATTAGACCTGATCACAAAAAGTGATTACAATCCTTTTGAATGTGCCACTGCGTAGTTATTTTTCCAGAATTTTCCAAATGGGCTTTCAATTTATAATTAGCGCTTTATGCGGACATAATATTTATATTCAGATATGACATCATCATTTTATTTTTAAAATGAAAATTACAAGAAATAGTCTCTGTCAACCAGTAAGTTTATTTTTGGACGCAGGATGCGCTCGAATATTGTTTCGGAACACAACCATTACTTTAATGAAAGCTGTAAAATTCGAACTTATTTGTCTTACAGGGGCGCAGATCGCTTTTTCAATGCGGGGGAGGGGGGGGATTTATTCAAAAGGGTCGGGCCGTATGTGCGAATTCGATTGCTGAGTATAGCGACATGAAAACGTTTCAGTTGAGCTGGTGGCGTTAATTTTCACCTAAGTGATAATTCAAGGAATAAAAAATTAAAATCATGAAATTTCACCAAGGTAAAAGTAATTTTCGGGGGCATCTGGCATGATACGAATAGATCCAGTAATAGAGCTCACCTTTTCTTTCTGGAAAACCAAGACTTTTAATCGTCAGAGAATTAAACGGAAGTCGAAGCGAAATACTGATCGTCGGAAAACAACGTCAACAAAGAAATTTTTATTTCGGATACCAAAAGATCTCGTTTTATATATTTTTTTAGTTAGATAAAATATTTTTTGTTTTGATTAATGATTATTTCAAGGCTGTGAATGACATTTTTTCAATAATTTTCAATTTAATCGTTTAAAAAGCGGCCGAAAAGATCGGCAAATGTTCCTGTCATTTGGTAAGTACGGTAGGGAGAATTTAGTAATGTGCGCATTCAGTCATTGCGTCTGTGTTCAGAAGACTTCGTGATACTCATCAAGTTTTTGATTTTCCGGATCAAATGAAGTGTTAGAAGTTTATATTTTTCTATAATTTCGGTCACAGATCGTGCGTTTACAAATTAACTGGCCCTCAGTACGAATTGGATGCATCTAGTTATTTAAAATCTCTCCATTATCACACGTGTTGTGTAATGATTGCCACATCCGCCATTTTCTTGTTTTCTGTGCAGAGTTGTTCTTTTCTTTGAACTGACATTTAGATCTACTTTATTTTTTTTTTTCGGGTCGGTCAGTGTTTGTACACTAATGAACAAATATAGAAAGTCAAGTAAATGTCAAAAAAGTCAAAAATACTTTCTAAGAATAATAGAATCACTTATTTTCACTTTGTCTTTGTGATTGGTGTCTGTAAAATGCCAACAGATTTTGATAAATTTACTTGCATACATCTTGAAATATTAAAGCCATGCATGTTCACTGTCTGACCACAATATTTACACAATCACATTTTGTCCATTATTTCTGTGTGCTTTGTAAAATTTTACTGTTTTTTTTGTTGTTGTGAAATTTGAGAAGAACAATAAATTTGGAGTTTCATTCGAAGCTCAATGGGCCAATGATGGCTTAATGAGAATTACAACAACAAATAATATTATTGGTGTACAGTCTATTCAATAAGTTATTTATTTCCTTGTGTAGATGTCCAGTAGCGCTGATTCTCCACCGGCAAAGAAAGCACGTATAACTGAACAACCTTTAACTAACAGTTCCCATAACAGTACTGGTAGTAATTCTATTGGATCAAATAATATTTCCACCAACAATATGGTAATTATTTTACGTGTTAGTTCTAAAGTAACTGTGTTTTAAAGTTGTATAGATAATATTCTGTTTTGTTGGTCAATTGATAATAATTGAAAATAACGAGTTTATTACATTTTGAATTAAACTTTTGACTTTCTGAAGTATTAATCTGGGGTTGTTCAGATTTTAATTATGTTTGTTGCCTTTTTATTACAGAGTAACTCTGTGAGAAATGGAGCATCAACAGATATTGATGAGAGTCTATATTCTAGACAACTGTAAGTACACATTAGTTTCATTCATTTTTTATTCATATAATTATATTATTATTATTACACCCACATTATAATGTGGTCGTATATTGTCGTCGCCCCTGTCCGTCCGTCCGTCCACAATTAGCTTGTGAACGCAATAGAGACGAGTTTTTATTGGAATGAAATTTGGTGTGATCATTTATAAGCTTATTTATCAGATCTTGGACAAGTTTGAATTTGACGATCTTTCGATTTATTGCACTTGTCGTATGAAAAATGCGTCATAATTTGGTTTTCATCCGATTTAAATGAAATTTGGTGTGATTATTTATAATAATGAGATCTTAGTCAAGATTGAATTTGACAATATTTCGATCAACGGAATTTAAGTTATTACCCTTTATGTCAGAATTTTATTAAATAATGTGTGTTTGTTTAAATCAACAATATCTTGTACAAATTAGATTTTTGGTATCACTTGACACAGATAGGTGACAGCCCTTGATATACTGAAAATGTATCAGGAAAGTGGGCTTATATTGCTAGGCAACAACTTGTTTCTCATATTTATGCCAAAGTTTTTATACTACGGTTATCATCAAAATAAAATGGTTACCTCTTACAAGGCCAATCTTTCTTATGCTTGCTCAGCTCCTTATGTTGTGTGAATCATTCAATGTCTTTATAAGCTTATAATGTAGTTTGTGTGTTTTGTATCAAAATAAAGTAACACTGAGTTGCTATTCCAACTCTTGTAATATTATTATAGGTACGTGCTAGGACATGAAGCTATGCGGCGTATGGCTCATTCCAATATATTAATATGTGGTATGAAAGGTTTGGGTATTGAAATAGCCAAGAATATTGTATTGGGTGGTGTTAAGTCTGTAACAGTACATGATAAAGAAAATGCTGATTGGATGGATTTATCTTCACAGGTAGTAAATTCTAAATTTGTAATCTGATTATTATAGTTTAGTGTGTAGTTTTGTTTTCATACTCATATGTCAAGTTGTATAATCTATCTTAAAACTTTATTAATAGTAAATGTACAGTCATGGCTAATCCTAGAATAATATAATAATATTTCATATGTATTTATATTTGTTACTGTTTATTTACATAGCTTATCCAAAATAAAGATATATCAAGCAATTTTTACATATTCTATCAGTATATATACTTTCTTCTGCTAGTTTTAAATTTGCTTTCTTATTGAAGATAATAAATAATGAGTTCTTTATGAATTTTAAAGTTTTTTCTGAGAGAAGAAGATTTGGGTAAGAATAGAGCTGAAGTTTGTACACCAAGACTAGCTGAATTAAATAACTATGTACCTGTTATTGCCCATACTGGTGATTTGACTGAAGATTTTCTGAAAGGGTTTCAAGTAAGTAGGTCTTACAATGTTTGGACAAACTGTCTTTTTGGCGAGATAAAAATTTGATAGATAAATAGAATGACAATTAGAAATAATGAAAAAAGGATTTCTGAATTTATTGTGAATTGAAATTAGTGAACTACGCTTTGTAATTTTATTCATTTTTTTGTGTTTTGTTTTGTAGGTTGTAACATTGACAAATTCTTCACATGATGAACAGTTAAGGATTAGTGAATTATGTCGTAAAAATGGTATAAAATATGTTATAGCTGATACCAAAGGGTTATTTGGGTGAGTCTATTTCTATTGACAGTACAAGACGCTTAAAACTAAGATATGTTTCAATGGAAGGTAATTCATAGTTAAAATAAAAAAGTAGATAGTCAAATAATTTGGCAAATTTGGCAAAATTTTGAATTTTAAGGACAGAATTACATGACATGCAGTGTTCCAAACATGGTCAAAAAATTGTTTTCCTTTCTAACATTTATGTTTTGTCTATTTTCAGTAAAATATTTTGTGATTTTGGTGAGAATTTTGTTATAAGTGATACTGATGGTGAACAGCCTACAAGTAATATGGTAGCTTCAATAACGAAAGAAGAAGCTAGTGTAGTTACATGTGTTGATGAAACTAGACATGGCTATGAGGATGGTGATTTTGTAACCTTTCAAGAAATTCAGGGAATGACTGAACTAAATAATTGTAAACCAATCAAAATCAAAGTATTAGGTATGTTACTTGTAGTTCAAAATGATAATTTTATCACAAAATAGCATCCATAAGTACAGTTTTTGACAGACTCTTTGCAAGTTTTACTCCATAGTTTAGTTTTTATGGTACTAATGAATAGTAGTAAATGTATAATAGTACATATCGAATGTATACAGAAGGAATAATTGTATGACTTTTGTTAGTTGTATGGTCAATCAGATACTATTTTTCACATCAAAGTTTTAATTCAAAAAATTAAAGTCAAAGTCAATATTGAAATGAATTGAGAGATAACAGTGATATATATTATTAATGGAAGATTGTAATAATCTTGTGTATGTAATATCTGGCTTGTTTTTTATACGCCCACAGGAAATGGGGGACGTATATTGTCGTCACCTCTTTCCGTCCGTCCGTCTGTCCACAATTGCTCGTAAACACTCTACAAGGCACAATTCTTGATTGATTTTGACAAAACTTGGTATGGTTGTTTATAATCACCCAAGGATGAACCCTATTGAAAAATCAGACGAATCGAAAAATATTTACTATGAGTTATTGCCCTTGTTCTTGAAACGCTCGTAAACACTCTAGAAGGTGCAATGTATGACGGATTTTGATGAAACTTGGTATGAGTGTTCGTAATCGCCCCAGGATAAACCATATCGAAAATCAGAAAAATTAAAAAATATTTAGCATGAGTTATTGCCCTTGTTCTTGAAAACGCGTTCAATTTTAGCCTGTAAACACTCTAGAAGGCACTATTCATGATGGATTTTGACGAAACTTGGTGTGAGTGTTTGTAATCACCCAAGGATAAACTCTATTGAAAATCAGAAAAATTGAAAAATATTTAGTATTAGTTATTGCCCTTGTCCTTGAAAACGCGTTCAATTTTTAGCTTGTAAACATTCTAGAAGACGCAATTCTTGACGGATTTTAACGAAATTTGGCTTGAGTGTTTGTTATCACCTAAGGATAAAGCCATTTGAAATCAGAAAAATTGAAAAATATTTAGTATGAGTTATTGCCCTTGATCTTGAAAACTTGTTCAATTTGTAGCTCATAAAAACTCTAGAAGGTATGATTCTTGCTGGATTTTGACAAAACTTGGTTTTATTATTCATCACAGCGCTGAAGATTGAATATTTGTCTTGAGTTTTCACGTGCTAAAGATTGAAACTTTTTCAAGGACTAGGGCAATAACTCATACTCAATATTATTCAGTATCGCCCTAAGGAGTTCAAAAGAAGTGTATGACTGAAGGTTGAATATTTCATACTGGTGATTGTTACTGTACTGCTAAATATTTATATTCAAAATCAAAGCTGCCAGTGGGCATATATTACCTTGCCTGGCAAGCTATCTTTTATTTTAGGTCCATATACATTTAGTATTGGTGATACAACAAGCTATTCAGATTATGTAAGAGGAGGAATAGTTACTAAAGTAAAAATGCCTAAAACCATCTGTTTTGTAAGTTTTCAGATTTTCTTACTTGTTTTCAAAGTGATAAAGATTTATTTAGTATTACCTTAAGATGATTATTTCTGAGAACCATTAACATGTCATGTTTAATGTTTCCTTTTGGATTTAAAAAACCCGAATTTAAGATGTTGTGTTTAGGTTGAACCATTTCAATTTGTATTTATATCTAATGTTGATTAAAGAGTTTTTTGATGTGACTATTTAACAGAAACCATTGTCTCAAGCTATCGAAGAACCAGAGTTTTTAATGACAGATTTTGCCAAGTTTGATCGCCCTGGTTTACTACATATTGCCTTTCAAGCATTGAGTGAATATCAAAAACAAAAAGGAGATTTACCTAAATCATGGGACAAGGTAAGACTCTGGATATTCCTTCTAGAAATATTCATTATGATTTTGAAACAAAACAAACAAATATGGCCTGATTATTTTATCTACAACGTTTCAGATAACTCTTAGAACGTTAGAGCATGTTTGGGTTGTTTAATCTTTAGTACTTTTGTGTTAAATTGTACAAGTTAGCCATTAGTCAATCATTTTTATTCCAGAATGGTGCTGAAGTATTTCTCACTATATTTAAACAAGTAAATGAGAAATCAAAAGCTAAAGTAGATGCGATTGATGAGAATGTATTAAGATTATTCTCCTATGTAGCTAGAGGTGATCTCTGTCCAATGCAGGCTGTGATAGGTGGTATTTCTGCTCAAGAAGTTATGAAGGTTAGTTATATTTAGATTGTAAGGTTATTCCACTGTTTAATCTTCCTTGTATGGGGATAGTGACTATTAAAAATGCATTAAGACGGGACGAAAACACCAATGTGCCAAGAACATACTAATGAAAACACATTAAGATTTCTTTGTTCTACAGGGAACAGTAATTATAATCATATCCCTTGTTCTTGAACATTGGTCTTGTTCTGTAAGTGTCAACATCTGTATTATTGATAGTGTATGTTTTGTTGTAGGCATGTAGTGGCAAGTTTTCTCCTATCTACCAATTTCTGTATTTTGATGCTATAGAGTGTCTACCTGAAGAACCAGAAAGTAAAATAACAGCTGATAATGCTAAAGCTGTAAGTTTTCTTTTATCTATTATTTTTCTCACTAATAACAAAGAAACATCAAAATTTTATGTTTATAAGTACAATCATGGTTGTAGTTTTACACTGGTTTTACTTGTTTTTATAGAAAAACTGTAGATATGATGGACAAATAGCAGTATTTGGTGATGGATTTCAGAGAACATTAGAAAATCTCAATTATTTCTTGGTAAGCTGTAATTTTTTATTTGATAATGTTTTTTAGAACGACTGCTTTATAAATTTGTTTTTCTGACATTATATTTTATTGGTATAAAATTGTGATTTGATATTTATTCAGTTGTTGTCAAGTGTAGAGGTGAATTTTATCGAGCAGATTGACAAGTTCAATCAATACTAGTATCTTGTGAGTGTCTTACTCTGATGGTCAGAAGAACTATGTTTTATTTGCTTTGTAATGTAAAGATAGATATTATGAAAAAGATGTATACATTATTAGGTAGGAGCAGGGGCTATAGGATGTGAAATGTTAAAGAATTGGGCTATGATGGGTATTGGTTGTGGTGAAAACGGTCAGGTTATAGTCACTGATATGGATACTATAGAGAAATCCAATCTTAATAGACAATTTTTATTTCGACCATGGGATGTACAGGTATGTAATATTTATAACCATGTCTTTGTCCAATCTTTTGTCCAAATTGATGTTGATGCCATTAACTTACACTACCAATTAACAAGTAAGATATACTGAGAATCATTATAGGTTTTAATTATTTTGTCACTTAATCTTCCAAATTAGTATTATGAATTTGGATAACTTCAGGTCATTAAAATTTTGATATTTCGTTAAAATGTTTTCAAGAAGCTTATGAAACGTATTACTAATTTTTTTTTATTTAATATTATTAACTGCTTTTCAGAAAACTAAATCTTCAACTGCAGCTAATGCTGTGAAACAAATGAATCCTAATATTAAGATATTGCCTAAAGAAGATCGTGTTGGACCAGATACAGAAAATATTTATACTGATGATTTCTTTGATCAGTTAGATGGTGTAGCTAATGCATTAGATAATGTTGACGCCAGTAAGTTGTTGCTAATAAGATATGTTCTTAATAGAAATTTTTATTGAATTCTATTGAAAAGTATCTATAGTGATAACATTATGAGAGATAAATACCTGTGCTATACCTACTCTATATATATTACATACATGTATATTGAAATACAAAAATCAAAACCTAAATCATTTGGCTATACCTACTCAATCTACATCATTGAAATATATAAAAATATTGATATATTATATACATTTCTATATTGAAATAAAAATATTAAAACAAAACCTGAACCATGTTGCTACTAGGGTTGCACACTTCAATCTAAAATATTTTGATATTGTATATTGAAATAAAATGAAATTCTATGTTTATTATAGGAATGTATATGGATAGAAGATGTGTATATTACCGTAAACCATTATTAGAATCTGGTACATTAGGTACTAAAGCTAATGTTCAGGTTGTCATACCACATGTAACTGAATCTTATTCTTCATCTCAAGATCCACCAGAGAAATCAATTCCTATTTGTACACTTAAGAATTTCCCTAATGCTATAGAACATACTCTACAGGTTGGTATAAATATTTTAGTCACATTTCTTTTACTTTTATTTGATAAATTTGAGTAAAGTGGAGTCTCTTAGATGAGATGTCTTGACTTGTAATATTTGAAAGTCTAGTGTTTGCTGTTACAAAATTGTCGTTGGATCTTGTGTTTAACTGATTGATTGGAAGTTAGTGTTGTAACAAGTTTTGAAATGTCATATTATAATGGGTCTGAAAATGGTTTTATCTCAGAAAGGTTATATATTAAGTAATAGTGAAAGTAAATATTAAAACATTCACTTCAGATGCATGTATAATTACACAAATAATATGATTAGAACATTTTGATATTTCTTTAGTGGGCTCGAGATGAATTTGAAGGATTATTTACTCAGCCTGTAGAAACAGCTGTACAGTATATCACTGATCCTAAATTTGTAGAAAGAACTGTCAAGTTACAAGGAACACAGCCCGTAAGTTAAAACAAGATATTTTATTTTTAATGAGTTGAAGGAAATCATAAGAAGATGTGCCAGCTCACCTTTCATTGTCCATGATTGAATCCAGTAGGTGTAGATGGTCAAACATAGTTTTTATGATTAAAAAAATTTCGTAGTCTTTGTGTTAATGATAATTTTGGCTGAAATATCAAATTTGATTCTTAAGCGAGAAAAGTTCTTAGAAAACTTGTGATAAATGTGATAGTTTATGTTTTTTTATTACATTGTGTAGGCTGAAACATTTGAAGTTGTGAAAAGATTTCTAGTGGATGAAAGACCAAAAGATTTTCAAGATTGTGTGACGTATATTAGGAATCATTGGGAGAAGAATTATAATAATGTTATTAGACAATTATTGTTTAATTTCCCACCTGAACAGGTTAGATTAAACTTTTCATAATTATCTTGTATTAATGTTCCATTATTGAATCAGGTATTGGCTTGTCTAGTATATCAAAGTTCTATTCAGAAAAAATGAATGAAATATGGCTAGAAATAGTAGTTTTTAAGTAATTTAAGTTACATAGGACTGATTGAATTACTTCTGATTTATTTATTTCAGACTACAAGTACTGGAGCACCATTTTGGTCAGGACCTAAAAGATGTCCTCATGCCCTGACATTTGATGTTAATAACGTAAGTACATAGGAATCAATATAATAGCAATTGTTCACTTAGCATTAGCAATTCTTCCAATTTTGATAGGCTGCTTTGATGCCTGAAATAGTGGTTGAACATAAAACTCCATTGCTATTTCCTAAATTGAATATGTATTGATTATTGTAGGAAACTCATTTAGACTATATTGTATCTGGTGCCAATTTACATGCTGAAATGTATGGTCTAAAACAATGTCGTGATAAGGAAGCTATTAAAACTATGGTATCTAAAGTAAAGGTACCAGAATTTACACCTAGATCAGGTGTTAAAATAGATGTAACTGATGCTGAAGCTCAAGCTAGACAGAATGATGGTTTTTGTGGTATGTAGTCAACCTATTAAGGAATCTGGAACAGCAGCTCAAATTCTTAGACCTGTTTATTAATGAGTATAGATGATGCTGAATGACGAAATGTCAAAAAGTAATCAGTATCTGAGGAATTTTCAGTTTTCTACTAATGAAATAAAATAATTTATCAAAAAAATAATATATTTTTTAGATGATACTCAGTTAGAACATTTCCAGAAATCCATTCCACCACCATCAGAGTTTAAATCCTTGAATCTTACACCTATAGAATTTGAGAAAGACGATGACACCAACTTTCATTTAGACTTTATTGTTGCTGCCTCTAATTTACGTGCTGAAAATTATGATATCCCACAGGCAGATAGACATAAGGTTAGTACCAGATGTGGATTCAAGCAGTATTTTACTGTTCTTTAAACAAATGTTCAAGATATATGACTGAGGAAGGGTTTTGAAGCTTATATCTTGTTAGGTGAAACCCTCCTAATGAGTATGCATATTGTTTGGGTAACTGCTATATTGTATTATCAAATATATTTCTTTGTAATGTTGCTTTGACCATTCAATGTTAAGATTATGTTAACAATGAATTTATTACTTGCAGAGTAAACTGATAGCTGGAAAGATTATACCTGCTATAGCTACAACTACAGCTTTAGTTGTTGGACTGGTAACATTAGAATTATATAAGGTAATTAGCTACTTTATGTATTGTATAATTAGAAGACTTTATTGAATAACAATTATGTCATTGGCACATTAAGGTATTGGCACACAATTTTTTTTTTTAGGTATTAAATAGTACCAATTACCATGAAGGGACTGTTATATCTTATATCAACTCAGGCTGAAAATAGGTCAGTTGTCTGAAGATTGCATAGCGTGAAGCTCTGAGTAACAACATGTTTTTTTTAGGTCCTGTATTAATATTTCTATATCGCTCTACAATTGATGTATTGAGCACTATTTTCACAGTGAAAATATTTCATAATATCCTATATCTCTTTTTTTTTGTATAGCTATCTCAGGGTCATAAGAAAGTTGAATCCTTTAAAAATGGTTTTGTTAATTTAGCTTTACCATTCTTTGCCTTTTCTGAACCAATTGAAGCACCTAAGAATGAAGTAAGTTTATTATATATGCTTCTGTTTCTATTTTCTTTTTAGAGAATTTCTAATTGCTTTTATTTCTGATGTATGTCTTGTTCAATATTGAAGTTGTCAGTACAGTCATGAAATTGAAATTTGTCACTAATTAAATCCATTGGAACTAAAAACAAATGGTATTGGTTATGACTTGTACGTGAAATGCTGTATACTAATAACTGATTGTATTATATTACAGTATAACGGACATAAATTTACATTATGGGATAGATTTGAAGTTCAGGGTGAAATGACATTGAAAGAATTTTTAGACTATTTCCAGGTTAGGATTTTTTTTATGTTTAAAAGCTAGTACAAAAAGTTGTAGAACTTCCGATCTCTAATATCTTTATGAATGAAAGTTTTATGTGGACTTCTTTAGGAAAATTGTATAATTTTGTGTAAATGATGTTATTTGAGGTTTAAACTAACCATAATATGTCACTGATAACATAATCCTAGTAATCATACTTTAATATATTTATTGGAATTTTACAGAAAGAACTTAATTTAGAGATAACAATGTTATCACAAGGAGTATGTATGCTGTACTCATTCTTTATGCAGGCAGCCAAACGAGAAGAAAGAATGGTTTTACCGTAAGTATTAAATACTTATATCATGTGATTTTTAGTCGGATAATAAACCTTCATGAAATGATTCATGTTCATGTGTTGATGTTTTAGAACAGAATCATTAAATAAGCATCTGTTGAAGAAGTCGTACTATTTTTTAATTCTGATATCATTGAATGAGAAAGTAATATTGTATGTACACATATATTACCACTACATATAGTTATGCTTGGTTTCATCAAGCCAGTATTTTATATTTAGTTTATTTGCCATAGTTATAATGTCAAATTAACAATGTTAATTGTTTTCAGGATGTCTGAAGTAGTGAAGAAAGTGTCGAAGAAGAAAATAGCACCTCATGTTCGAGCTCTGGTGTTAGAAATATGTTGTAATGATAAAGATGGGGAAGATTGTGAAGTACCTTATGTACAATATAAATTACCTTAAATACCATTTAGTCAAAATATCTGGTATATTTTAAGAACCAAGTTGGAAAAATCAAGTGAAAAGTTCATTTTGCTCTTAATGTAGTTCACTTATTAATGCTGTTCAATTTTTGCTGGATTAGAATCAATCAATTTGGAGGTCTGTTCATGAACTAAATGTATTGTATATTTGACTTATCAGTGCTATTATAATAATTATTAAGGTGTATCTTCTTGCATTGTCTGGTTTCCTGTACAATTCGCTAGATATTATTTATTAACAAAATGTTGTCATCTATATCCACAACTGGACACAGCTTCTGTTCAGAAATAAACCTGGAAACAAATGTCCAATAGAGCATATTTATTGTATGAAAAAACTTAACAGAGCAGTGTAATACATTTTGTATTGTAATTAATTTCTACTTTCATTAAAGCTACCCTTACACCATATTATTACCATTGAATTACATTTCTCAGATTTTCTCAAGAAAATCACTATAGTCTTTGGGAACATTTGATGATGAAATGTGATTCACATAGCTGCTACTAAAAGCTAAAAAATGCTTTGGTCATTTTAAGAATCGATTCATCTCTGTTCCCTCTATAGAAGGAAAATTTCCTTATGAATTTGTGCCACTTTGACCTTATATAGACGGTGCAAAGGCCGTTGAATATATTTAAGGGACAAATAAAATTAAAGTGTTTATACAAAAAGGTTTTATTATAACAATGGCTCTACTACAACACACTTCTGCATCAGTTTTATCAAGAAAATGTTATCTTGATGGAATAAGACATAGTTTACATTATGTACAGTCGTTAACATGTCATTCATCGCAAATAATTAGATGTCAATTTATCAGTATAAATATATGACCTAAATTCTTAAGACCAAATTACACAGGCTTTGAGAATAACTTTCATTGGTTAATTGGGTATTAATAGAGTTAAATTATTGTAAAAATTATGGTTAAGATATTTATATTGTATTTAAATAATTTACTGTTTGAATGACGAATGGGTTAAAAGACATCACAATGAAACAATAACAAACTGGTATTTCCAAACTATCTAATAAAATCTACTTGTGAATTCATTCAAATAATAATATACAGGTGATCACTGAAGTCTTAAGTTTCCTTAATTATCAAAATTTATCCACAAAAATAGTACTTTTAATGCTTATAAGTACAAAAAAAAGTAATAGTCACTTTAAAGTAATCCAGAATTGCAGAGGAAATTTACCAATTTAAATATATAAACTTTAAACAGCATCAATACATTATAAAGTAGGCCAACTATTTCCCTTATAAAAAAGGAATTACTTTATAGGTTTTGTAGAAGAGATTACAATGGGACAAAACAATCCTTGAAATAAGCAAATGGATAAACAAAAACTAAATCTTGATTTTCTGACCAAATTACACATTATTCCATATGAACAGTCATAATATTGGCTGGTCCAGAGTTTGAAGATATCTATATCTATGGTTTTTTTTTTTTACACACCATGGTTGATAGTAGAGCATTACCTCACCTAATACACAATCATTTCAATTTGCTGTTCATATTGGGTACAAATATACCTTATTTTACAACAGATACACCAAAATGTAGAATTTTTATGAGGTTTATTACTTCATGATCTTTGTTCAAAAAATCTTAGCTAAATACATTATTCCTGTTAGCAGCCAGCCCTTGTAAAAACTAAAATATAGTGTCTTTGATAGAAACAGTTATTTATCTAGTAAATGTGATAACTGAAGACATACGAAATAGGAATATTGTTGGTATGTAAGGAATAAAATAAATAAGCTAAATATCATGGAAACATTCAATTAATAAAAAAATCTTAGAATATATACATAACATTGAATATGTACATTCACATTGTACATGATATTATATATAGTGAGTAATGTACTGCTCACAATATACCCTGCTCGCATAATACACACAGAAATTACATACTTATCATTTCTTACATTGAAAATATTTCAGTAAAAAAATCCTAAATATGTAAAAGTATATATATATATATATAATTATATTAGAAATGAAATACTACAAGTAGGAAATCTCTATAAATAATAAATATATCTTTTATAATCATGGGATTAAAAGAGGGGGGGGGGGGGGTTAAATTGGGGTGTCATCTTATATAATATATACTCAATGTAACACTGACATGTTATATATAGATGATAACATCTTAAGACAATATATCTACAAATTTGATCTGAATTAATTTACAAGCTTAAGCAGTTTTGATTATAGACAACAAGCTATTGTAATTGAATGAACTGCTAAACTTTGTCATCTATTAATTTGCCTTCTCCCTGAGCGAGGGTGAAAATAATTTTGATATAGGATATTAATAAATTCCGGAGACTGCAATCTTCTCCACCATTATCTGTACATCTTTAATTATAGTATGCCTTCCACCAAAACACCACACATCACTGATTGGGATTTCCTTTTACATTGTTTCCTTCATCAATTTCATCCACAAATTTTTCCATAGTTAATTTTATAGCGACAAGTCAGCAATCCTCAAAGGTTTGTTAAAATCTGAGCAAATGTGTTTTGGGGAAAAAAAAAAAAAAATTTGGAAGAAAACTAAAAGTCAATGGTTGAAACTTAATTGAAAGACATGGAAAGGGATTGACAATAAAAGCATAAAACATTTTGTGTTGAATAATTTGTCCCATGCAAACTTACAACACATAAATCATGGCAAATTGAATTTGAATTACAATGTGATCTGGTGAAATACTGAATAGCAACTAAATGTGATTTGTGAAACACTTCTAGTGAAACAAAAACAAGTGTTTGCTACATTGAAACATTAAGACTCAATATCATATCTATAATGCTTTTATACTTACTTTAAAATTTTAACTAACAATCAAAAATACATATCTAATACCAAAAATAATAAAAAAAAAACAATACTAGTTTTGGCTAAAATAGTGAAGACATGTAGGATTATGAAGGTCTATCAGGTTGTTTTGAATATGGTATTGATCTTACAAGTTTAGACCAAGGAAGCTCTTAAAAGTTTTTTTTTATTTTAATAGTTGACTTCGTATTTATTTCCGACCATTTCAGAAAGGAGCGTTAAATAAAAGTGCCCTAAAGGAACAGCAAGCACAATAATCGGTCCCTGAGAAGATATTTTTACCGATATATGTGAATATTTGGCCAAATTTATACAACTGTGAACAAGTAAATATAATATATTAAATTGTAGTATGAGGATGCCAATGTGTACATATATAAATAAATAAATATAATATGTATATATACGGAGATCAAACTAGTACGAGAAGCTGTAGCCATATATTCATCTAGTTTCTATTGACCAAATATTTTTTACTTTTATGTTTAATTTATCTTCATAATGATTATTATTTCAATAACATGACATTTACCAGAAAACTTACGTTTTGTAATACATCTAAATGATTTTCTAACATTCAACTTGAAAAATAAATGAATAATTTTAAAGTTGGGTTAAAAATGAAGAAACTAAAGAGAGAAAAGGGTATGGAAATCTATGATCAGCAGTAAATAGCTACTATCTATATAATATAGTGATCCAACAATAAACTTCCATTTAACTAACATATATAATATAGAACGCTAATTAATGTCAAATGGTTTTCTTTAAACATTCATTACTACTCTCTTTTTAAATACAAGATTTGATACAAACATGATAAACCAATTATAATTTCACACATAAATCTTA